AGCTCCTAGACATCTGGGCAATGAACTAGTACATTAAAGAGCTGTCTTTGTCTCTTCTCCTCTCTGTAATTCTGACTCTCAAAAATAAACAAACATTTTTAAAAGTCTTTTAAAAATACATGTTTTCTCATCACAATTCATTGAGAATGGATCAACCACTGAGATGTAAGAACTTAAGTTGAAAAGCCCTAGAAAAAAAAAACACAGGTGTCAACCTTCGTGATGTCAGCTCACATAACGGTTTCTTAAAAACGACGCCAAAGCACACACACAAAGAAAAAAGATTCAACCACATAAAAATTATAGTTGTTTGCTCTTGAGAGGGTATAGGAAAGTTAAAATACAACTAAAAGAATGGAAGAAAATATTTACAAATCATTTATCTGATATGGTCCTTAAATGTAGCATAGCTAGTTAAGCCACCTGAGACGCTGGCATCCCTATGGGCACTGGCTTGTCCTGCTGCTCCACTCTTGATATACCTCTCTGCTAATAGCCTGGGAAATACAGCAAATGGCTCAAGTGTTTGGGACATAGCCAACCATATGGGAGACCTGGATGAACTCCTGCCTGGCTCCTTGTAGCTTTGGACTGCCCCTGTAACGGTCAACCCTGGCCGTTACAGCGACTTCAGGAGTGAACCAGTAGATGCAAGATCTTCCCTTACCAATCTCTGTGTAACTTTGCATTTCAAAAATAAATAAATCTAAAAAAAAATTCTTACAACTTACCAAAGAGAGAAATAGAATATAAAAATGGACTATTCAAGTTGAGCATCTGCCATGTGCTTAATGACCATTTAAGTATTCTCTGTGGATAAATATCTATTCAAATTATTTACTTATGAGTATACTTTACAAAGAACATAGAAGAAAATGAAATTGAAAGATCAATTTATTTCGGTGCAAAAAGATTTGAAAGCCACGTATAATAGGAGTCTTTCAAAAAGGTCATAGAACATGTGTACTATGATAACTATGCATGAGTTACAAAAAAATCTTTTTAAAACATTTTATTTACTTTTATTGGAAGGGCAAATCAGATTACTGAGAGGAGACAAAGATTTTCCATCTGCTAGTTTACTTCCTAAATGGGAGCAGGAGCTGAGCTGATCCAAAGCCAGGAGCTTCTTCCGAGTTTCCCGCACAGGTGCAGGGTCTCGGGGCTTTGGCCCAACCTCGTGCTTTCCCAGGCCACAAGCAGGAAGCTAGATAGCAAATAGAGCAGCTGGGACACAAACTGGTGTCCACATGGGATCCTGGTGCTTGCACTACGAGGATTTAGCCACTGAGCCATTGCACAAGTTGAAAATTAATCTTTCAACTCCATTTTTACACAAACTTTTTGAAGTGTCCACATGTTGGATTATTCATATTTTAAAAATTGATTTGCAATTTGGATACTAAACCCTTATCATATGCATCATGTATGAACACACAGACATAAACACATATACTTTGTCAAGACATAAAAATGTTTTATACATAAACATAAAAAAGAAAGGAATATCAGTAAGGCTGTCCCATACACTTTCCTCCAGGTTAACACGTACATGTAAAAGTACAGCCTTCATTCAGACTTCTCGGACTCCTCAGGTTACAATCCAGAAGATGGACAAAAGAGGTCTCAGCACAGAAAAGGATACACTTATTTTTTTGTTTGTTACTTTTATTTATTTGAAAGGCAAAGTGACAGTGATCTTCAATCTGCTGGGTCACTTCCCGAAGGACTGCAGCAGCCAGGGAGGTGTGGGCGACACTGCTCAGTGGATATCCTGGTGATGTTACGAGTTGCCACGCTGGAGCGGGCACGCCCACGCCTCTAGACATTCTCAACAAGGTGCCAACTGTGTGAAGCCAGAGCCTTCTTGGAAATAGGATCCCTTATTCTCAAATGCCAGAGTCCCTGGTTTTCAGCTCTTAGCATCTGTGACCAGAGACCAGAGGGCAGAGACCGACGTCTGCTGGGTCCTGTCTGAACTCTGACCCAGCTGCCGTGCCAGGGGACGGTTGTATGGCACTGCATCTGAAGTGGAATGCAGATCAGCCCTCTCACCACCGGGCAGCAGATTCTTCTACCAGCTGCAGACTGTCAGCCACAACGCTACCTGGCTCATAGCAACTGGTAATAAGTATTTGCTGAAAAAATTAACAATTAACTTATTTAGGGTTGAATACTGGATAACAAACATTTCTCCATGAATGTCAGCATTTTCGACGAAGACACTAGAGAACTCTCACTGTTCAGCATGAATCTGTTCAAACTGGATGTAAAACAAAAATCACATTAAATGCTCTAATTCAGTCTTTTAAATTTGTATACTCAATAATAATCATTTTTAGTTGTTTATATCAGGCAAATCACCAGGTTTTTATTTATTTATTTATTTTTATTGGAAAGTCAGATTTACAGAGAGGAGAGACAGTGAGGAAGATCTTCCCTCCACTGGTTCATTCCTCAAGTGGCCACAACGGCCAGAGCTGAGCTGATCTGAAGCCAGGAGCCAGGAACCTAGAACAGTTTCCAGGTGTCCAACATGGATGCAGGGTCCCAAGGCTTTGGGCCATCCTCTACTGCTTTCCCAGGCCAAAAGCAGGGAGCTGGAAGAGAAGTGGAGCAGCCAGGACATGAACTTGCACCCATGTGGGATCCCAGCACGTGCAAGGCAAGGACTTTGGCCATTAGGCTACCGCCCTGGGCCCAACATCAGTTTTTCTAATCGTTTACTTTTTCGTTGTATCTTTCATATTATAGTCCTAAGACATCCTAGGAATGATTGAGTTAATGACTCGAGTTGGGTGATGTGCTGGGGCTTGGTGGGTTAAGCCACTGCTTGGGATAGCTGCATCACATATGAGTGCCTGGAGCTGAGTACCACACCTCTACTTCCAATCCAGCTTCCTTCTAATGAGCCTGGGGAATGGCAGATTATGGCTCATGTCCTGGAGTTACTGCCACTCCGGTGGAGATTCAGTTGGAGTTCCTGCTCCTGGCTTTGGCCTGACTTAACCCTGATTGTTGCAGGCATTTGGGGAAGGAACTAGAGGTTGGAAAGTCCTTCTCTTGCTCATGGAAGCAAGTAAAACTTTAAAGAAGTAAAAATCTTAGTCCGTCCAAAGAAATAAACACGTCAAACATCAATCAGCTGGAAAACAGAACCTTTAATGGCATGATTGCTTAGCCCTCATCAACCTATAAATGAGAGGATAGCTTACTGTTTGTACATCATCAACATCATACGTGGTTTGACAGAAAATATTACTAATATTTCAATTGCACATGAAAGTCTTATACACATGCTAAATAAATACTCTTAGAAATTTATGAAATGTTTATCCCATTTGCTCTCAAAATAGTAACTGAAGTGTAACTTCATTCAGTTTGTCTAACATTCTATAACTAATATTCCCAACAGTCACAGAACACGCCTACAGCCTAAGGAGAATTGTTACACTGAGAGAGATAAGAAGTTTAAAATATTCAGCTTGGCAGGTTTCATCTAGACTACAGTATTCAAAAGTCTGGTGTCAGTTTGCAGGAGGTATGCACCACTGTGTTCAGATTCTTTGCCGGTCGATGACAGAAGGTACACAAAATGTAGGATACATATGTTACATGTATTTTTAAAAGTCTATTCTACTCTTTCTTAGCTCCTACTTTCAAACAACATGCTTCAGGACTGAAGTAATTGCTATACAAATCCAAGTAATTCTAACATTTTAATAACATCCCCCCCATACTTTCTCATGTCTTAATTCCTTCTAGTGAAGATTCTCCAATATTTAGAAAAAGTCAATGAAATTACTCAGTAATGGAGAGTAAGATCTGGTTTTGTGGTATAGCTCTCATGATACGTAAGAAGACACACAGGGGGCCTGGCGGGATAGCCTAGTGCCTAAATCCTTGCCTCACAACTTCCAGGATCCCATACGGGCGTAGGTTCAAAACTAAGACTTACCACAAACCTCATCAACCATTTCATTAGGTTGCTTAGCCTTTTAAAATGTTTTTGCTAGAATAAAACTTCTCGCTAAATGTGTGAAATTTTTCCAACCCTTAGTTCTCAGGTAGCCTAGATTACAAAGAGAATTTTTATAAGATCTTGGTGAAGAAAATTGTGCACATTTCAGTATTATTTTTAAAAAACACATCATTTTTATTGGTTAAATATTATCTCAGACGCATTTTTAACCTTCCCTACTTTGAAGCGATCAGATTAAATCTAATATATCAAACTATGCATAACATCATAGTAAACATCTTTATACATAATTTTCTCTCTTTTTTTGGATTATTTCCTTAGGATAACATGAGCAACAATAAGATTCTCATATTGATATTGATAGTATAAGGCAAATTATCACATAAGGTTGTAAACAGAATAGATCATATTTTTCATTAAAAATTTTGTTATCAACGATTTATTTATTTTTATTGGCAAGGCAGGTTTACAGAGAGAAGCAGAGACAACGATCTTACAAATGCTAGTTCACTCCCCAAATACTTACAAAGGACAGAGCTGAGCTGATCCAAAGCCAGGAGCCAGGAGCTTCTTCTGAGTCTCCCAGATTGGTGCAGGGTCCCAAGGCCTTGGGCCACAGTGCTTTCCCAGGCTACAAGCAGGAAGTTGGATGGGAAGTGGGGCAGGTGGGACACAAACCAATGTCCATATGGGATCCTGGCACTTGCGAGGGGGAGGATTAGCCGATTGAGCCATTGTAATGGGCCTAGATCATATATTTTATTATTCTGATTAAGTTTTTTTTTATAGCAGTAAAATATTAATAGCTACAATGAGGTACTTTAACTGTAATTTTTGTATTCATATTTTTAATAAACAATATTCAATACTGTTTCTTGCAGTTTACTGACAGTCTTCTGTATTTGACTGTTAAATTTACTCAGCGGTACCTTCCTATTTTTTAATGAAACGTCAATGTGTTTCAGAAACCTCTCCATAACGCCGAGTGACTTCTCTTTCTGTCATACTTTAGGCTTACCTGTTCTTAAGATGTGCCTCCAGATCACAGCGTTGCATTACATCTTGGCACACTGAAGAAAATGGACATGAAACCAACAGTTTGTCTAGCAGTTTATGAACCAGAATACTAGACTTCTTACACAACTTAAAGTGCAGTCTTTTTCGGTCCAACGGACAGAAATCTTTCTCCTGTAAAAAGTTTCGGAGGCACTTGTAGCAGAATGTGTGTCCACAGGGCGTATCCAGCGGCTGCAGCAGGGGCTGCAGGCAAATGTGGCAGACGAGGTCATCATCCACTTCGTTCTGGTAATTGTACAAGTGGTTTTCTTTTGTCCAGTGCTGTTGGCCACATTCAAAACACAGTGGGTTGAGGGAGGAAGAGGAGGTCTGCTCCACAGACACCATCTCGTCACTGGTTGTCCCCATTCTGCAGTGACTCATGTGTCTGCTTTCTCCTCAGAGGGCAGACTCGGGCTTCAGGTTTGGCGTCCTTTAACGGAACTCATGGATCCAAGCAGCCAAGATTCGCTGTACTGCAGAAACAAACACACAAATGTTAACCAGGATAGGCTGAAAGTATCAACATAATACTACTAGTTAATATTTCAGTTAAAAAAAGTTTAGATCAGGCAAGAAATTGCCACCAAAAAATTTAAATACTGCTGACCCCATGTAGCTGAGGGTTCTGCACCCGTGGGTTCAACTAATTGCAGGCTAAAAAATATCAGAAAAACAAAAAAATAGCACTGAGTGTATGCAGATGTAACTGCTGCATGGGTGTTCACATTGTTCTAGGCTCTAAGTCAGCTACATTCACACTGCGCGAGGGCTCCAGGCGAACACGATGCCATTTTACACAAGGGAGGTAGACAAATTTACAAGTTGGCTAAGAATGCTACGCAGCGCCAAGACCGCAAGAAAAGAACTTGTAGCCAAAAGTAAAGATGACATTTATTGCATGATACAAGAAACAATCTGTTGTAACTGGCTGAAATCTCCAAATATGCCACAGTTCAATACTTACTATTTTTAAAAAATGATTGCATTTTTGAAAATCAGAGTCAAAAGAGAGAAAGACAGAGAGATATTCTATCCTTTCATTCACTCTCGAAATGGTTGTGAAATGTGGGGTGCGTCGGGCTGACACAGGAGCTACTTTAGTCTCCCACCCAGGTGCAGTGGCCAAGTCCTTGGACTGTTCTCTGTGGCTTTCCCAGGTTATTAACAGGGAGCTGGAACAGAGGTGGAGCAGCCAGGACTTGAACTGGCATCCGTATGGGATGCCACCAACGTAAGCAGCAGCTTAACTTACTATGTCACAACACCAGGCCCTCACGGCTCAATATTTTAAAAAAGAAAATCTTCAAAGTCAATTAATAAGGTGCTGAAAATGCAACTTGCGGCGTATTATGTAATCCATTTGTTTTTGCCATTCCAGCCACTCTATGCTTCTAAGTGAGTTTATGCGTTTATGGTTCTACATCAAAGATGGTGTCTTTGAAATAGAATCTCATAGATAATTCAGAATTTGCTATTAAAAAAACACTTTGCTTTGTACTATGCAAAAAAATAAAAGGGGTGGGGTCCCAAACTATGTATGATTTGAATATTTTCTGTATGACAGAGAAACACATATGACATCTGTGGAAACTTTCTAAGAAGTGCAATAGTAATTTATCCCAAAGAGAAAAACCTGCTGTACTTCAGTTACACAGATGAGACATGCTGTAAGATTCTATCTCATACTATTCCACCCTTGCACCTGGGCTGGCAGACTCGGGACAGCTGCCCTCTCCACGCCAAGAGGCCTGCACCTGTCTAATCCAGCTCTGAGCAAGCCTGGCAGGGACTATGCCAACACCCTCCTGCTGGGTCTGGTGGGTCAGAAACCCATCTCCAGCGGCTGCAGCTCTTACAGAGCCCCAGGTATGCGCCAAACATTGAGGTACGGTAGGGGGAGGGAGGTCAGGAAACCCAGTATTAAAATTCCATATAAGAAGTAGGCTAAGACGAATCCTCACACATAGGACGCTATGGGAGCACAGGAAGGACAGAGAGCCGGCATGTGATTGTGTCTGACTGTGTAGCCAGAAGTACCTTCAAAAGAGGTAAACACGGAACTGCTGAGTTGTGACAGGAAGCATTAAAAAGAGACAAAAGTGAAGCAGGGATCATATGGGCCAGACAGAAGCAACAGCTAAGCAGCGAGAACCGCCTTCCACAGATCTCGGAGGAACCTGGAAAAGGTAAAACACTCAGGTCAAAGGAAACACCATCAGGACAGGGAATCCTAAAATTCTGCATCCTTGTGACAAGAAGAGAAAAGGCAGGACACCAAGCTAATGGTGCTAGTGCTTGTATTTCAATAAATAAAATCCCCTGCGATCATACACTAAGCATTCTTTATTTATTTGGAGTATTATTATTGTTATTATTAAGAAAAAGGTTACGAGCTTAATAGATTTAGTAACAATGGTAATGGATCAGGAGGAGACAGGAAAGGACTCAGGTGGATGAGATACCTCAGATAAATCTTGTGTTTTTAAAAGGGTCCAGCCTGGTAGCCTAGCGGTTAAAGTTCTCACCTAGAACACATCGGGATCCCACATGGGCACAGGTTCTAATCCTGGCAGTCCACATCTCAACCAGCTCTCTTCACTTATGGCCTGGGAAAGCAGTGAGGACGGCCTAAAGCCTTGGGACCTTGCACCCATATGGGAGATCCAGAAGAGGCTCCTGGCTCCTGACTTCAGATTGGCTCAGTTCCAGCCAGTGCAGTTGCTTGGGGAGTGAATCAATGGATGGAAGATCTTCCTCTCCATTTCCCTTCCTCTCTGTATATCTGACTTTCCAATGAGAATAAAATAAATCTTTAAAAAAAAAAAAGCTACCAATAACAGGGCTGCCGTGTCTTATAAATACTGGCAATCCTATAGTGGTGCCGGTTCTAGTCCTGGATGCTCCACTCCTGATCGCACTCACTGCTTGAAACCTGGGAAAGCAGAAGAGGATGGCCCTGGGCCTTGAGGTCCCTGCACCCACATGGGACACCTGGCAGAAGCTCTTGTCCCCCTGTTTCAGATCAGCTCAGCTCTGGCCATTGTGTTCACTGGCTGGAAGACCATCTCTCTCTCTCTCTGTAATTCTGACTTTTAAACAAAACAAAATAAATTTTTACAAAACGACCAATAAAATAACACCCTGTGTTCTAAATCCCTATCACAACTAATGAAAACTTGTAATGCTTCTTATATCTAATAACTCACGCTGCCCGTTCTTCACGCTTGTTATGCCACAGTGTTTAGACATCAGTGCAAGACACATGGGGTTGAGTCTCATCTGCTGGTATTTTTGCAAGGATTTCTTCACATTATTATTTCCAACTCAGCAAGAAATTCACATTCCCTTTGCTCTTCTTTGTTTATGATAGCATTTATTCTAATTCTTCTTGTCCTCAGGAAAATACACAGCAATTTTGACCTCCCACATAATGACTAAGAAAGCATTTATCTTAAGACAATTATATCTAAGCTACTTTGTAAATCTCACAATAAATTTAGATCTGATTATTTTAATTTTGTCACAAAATCTTTTCATAAGGACAATGGGCATGTTCCCATTTAAAATGCAAAATAGCAACTGCCTTGTCTCAGCCCCTAAAACGCCCCTATGCAAGCATGAAACCAAAATCCTCACAGGCACGTCACTGAGATATGCTAAAAATACTGAATATGGGACTGCAATGCTATACGACACAAGCAGTTGAGAGCATAGACCCAGCAGCCTGCCTTAGTCACTTACTAGTCTTGCTGCTTTAAGAAATTCCTGCTGCCTTCGCAGATGCAAACCAGGGGTACTAACAGTATCTATCTCCAATGGTTAATACGAAGGAAATTCACACAAGTATGCATGCATGCACATGGGGGTTTCAAAAAGGTCATGGCAAATACAATTAAATGTAAGCTTATTTTGGTGCAAAATATTTTGAAATCCATGAACCTACGAACTCTTCCAGAAGGTTGTGGGGGTGGGCAGTGGATGACTGCATTTCATATTAGACGGTCTGGTTTCTATTGACGCACACCCTGAGAGGCAGCAGGTAGCTCGGGCACTTGGTCCTTTGCCGTCCACGCAGGAGACCTAGGTGGAGTTCCAGACTCCTGGCCTTGGCCTGTTTGTTGGGAGCACTTGGAAGGGTAAGCTGTGGGCAGATTATCTTTCTCTTTTAAATAAAATGAAAAATAAAATATTAAAAACTCATAAAAACACATATTATGGAAAAATGCTGCGTGAATTTCAAAATGTTTTTGCATACAAATAAACTTTTAAAAAATTATCTGAAAGTCAATTCCAGACAGAGACCTCCCATTTGCTGGTTCACTCCCCCAGTTGGCTGCAGCCAGGGGCTTCATCCAGGTCTTGTATCTGGGTGGCAGGGGCTCAACCATTAGGTCAGCTTCAGCTGCTTTCCCAGGCCATTAGCAGGGAGCTGCATCACAAGTGCAGCAGCCAGGACTTAAGCTAGCGCCCATGTGGGATGCCAACACTGCAAGCAGTAGTTTTACATGCTACACTATGCCAACCTTGAAAACAAACTTATCTTTTAACTGTTTTTTCAGTGGGCACACACACCTGTGGTTTAAAACAGTCTCTGATAAATTATAGGTGCAATGTAACTGTTAGCTATTATTAGAGATGAAGAAATAAAAAGTCAAGTAGATGATATAATTTGCCCAAAGGCATACAATTTTCAATTACAAAGAGAGAAGGAAGATAAACTCGATTCTTTCTTGCTTCAAAATAACCCATCAGTAAAGTAAATGATTATGGGAAAGAGGAAAGGCATTTTGTGACAGTTTTATGGTGTGAGCTCCGTAGGCAGCCTGTTTCTCCAAACTCCAATCCCACCAATCCACACCCGGGCCAAGTGAATCACACTTTCTCTCTACTTGGCATGCAAGTCCATTTCTCCACCTTACACTTCTTCTCACTTGAGGGCCCCTCTCTAAAACAGGAGTTTGCCGTGTATTGGCAGAGGGCACTGTGTAACCCTCAGAGGTTCACCTGCTGAACATCTGCTCTTCAGGGTGACAGTACCGATGTGGTCCAACTTCAGAGGGGCCGACTGACTGTCACTAGGCTGCAGGGGAGCACTCACAGGATAGACTCAGATACTTCTCACATTATCCCAGCCAGTCCCGGTTGGAGCAGCCTGTTAGAGAAGAGTCAGCTTGGCCCCCAAATCCCTCCGGTTTCCCATTCTCCCACAGAGGCTCCCCTTCCCCTTCTGCTTCTCTGTGCTGTGATGCTGTAATGCAGCCAGGTGGCCCTCCCAGAGCCCAAACATATGGGTTGCCAATCTTGTATATTCAGCCTCCAAAGCTACAAGCTAAATATATTTCATAAACATTTTTAACTACCCAGCCATGGATATGTTGCTAAACTAGCATAAAATGGACTAAAAACTCCAACAGCAGGGACTCCCACATTGGGGACGCTTAACAAATGCTGAACCACCTGCAAGACAATAGGC